TGCTACTAATAGATGCTTGATAGCATCAGTGAACTGTACCGTATTTCATATTTTTCATATATTTCATATGCATAAGAAATTGAGAATCAGAAATAAGATTTTGATCAGCTGACAACTAACAGAGGGAAAGAGGTGGTGACAGCTCCAGCTGTTCATTTCTTATGTGCTATTTAAATGATTGTCAGTTTGCAATGAAAAAACGTGGAAATGAAGTCATTCTACATCTATTCCATTAACTAAAATTACGATTTCCTTACTTCACTGGATTTATCCTAATTAAGAAAGTAGATAATTGATTATCTTATTTCACCTTTTGGTTAATGCTTTTATTTTTCACCATAACTTTATTTTCTGTGTTCCTAATTTTTCTGTGAAGATAGTTAATAGCAACAAAAAAAGTACAACCTCAATTCATAAAGCACCTTCAGTAAGCCACAGAAATACTTGAGGATCTGAACTTTCAAACTTTGCTCTTTAGATTTTAAAGGAGCTTCCAAAACTCAAGTAACCCTTCTCTGCATACTATTAATAGAACCCCATAGTGATAATTTTTCTTCATTTAGGTATTTCAGTCCGCGTGTTCCTTTCACTGGGTACCTCAGAAGTGGGGGAGATCGCCCACACTTCTACTTTCTTCTCAGGTACAGTGAATTTTTCTGCATTGAATTTAAATATTTAGTATTTTGAGAACATAATTCCAGAAAACAGTACATCACAAGATCTTAAGGACAGATGCAAGAATTCTTATGTTTACTAATTTTTAAGAATCAGTTACCTAAATAGGTCTTGAATATCACCGTTTTTTAGATCCTTTGCATTTTAAAGGTACAGCTTAACCCAAGCAGACAAAGATTTTGCTCCTCTGAATCTCTCACGTTGTGTATTTTCCAGTGAATCATACATAACCAAGATATATCCAGAAAGTGTTACTTTTTATTTCATATTCATTCTTAATTTTATGTTGAGAATCTGATGAGATACAGATCTGAATTTCTACAATATGACCTTTCATGTATTTGATTTACTAAAGCCTTGTATGTGATAGTTCACATTTGCACGCTTTGTTTTATATGGATGACATTTTCTCTCTGAACATTAATCTGCCATTTTATTGTCTACCAACTACTTTCAATATGTTTCATAGATAGAGCAATTTTGACTTGTCACAGAAAGAAAACTGTTTCGCAAAAATTTAGCTCCAGTAAAGAACACAGGTTTTCAGGGCTTTTTTTCCCCTTCTGAGAAAATAAATTTACATTATGCCTCTTGTCATTTTTTAAATAGAACACATAACACTTTTATAGATTGTTTTTCTCCTGGGCCACGTATTTTACATGATTCTAAAGGACCTTTCATATAGTACTGCATGTCATCAGTAGCCTTTAAGGTATTATAGAAATACACCTTAAAAAATTATTATGCAATCCTATTGTTAAAAATCACGCAATCTCTGTGAATCAATACACATGAAACAACTCCTCAGCCACATTTTCATGTTACTTATCATAGCACATGGCTTTTATCTGTCCAGAAAAAAACCCACAGAGTAACACCAGAGACTATGCTCAAGATGATAATTTCTTTTGTATCATCACTAAAAAGAACACTGAACTACTGCAGAATTAAAGATGATCGCTAGCAGGTCATCCAACAGTTCTTATCTTTCAGAAGTGCTGCAAAGCCATACCCAGCCACTGCTGTCAGTGCACAAGATGTATGAGACCAACAGGAAACCCACTGACATCAGTACTAAGGCATCTGCCAGTGAGAATAAGCATGTTTCCTATCACAGCGAGCTTCAGTTTTTATCCTTCTGATTCTGTTCATACATTACAGATACCTAAAAACCCTTGTAATTGTTTAAGGACTCTTAAACAATTGATATTCCCCATAATAATGAAATATACAAAGAAACATAATACCTCTTTAAAAAAAAAAAAATCAGTTTAAAGTCCTGCAAGTGCAATAAGGTAAAATAAGAAAAAGTAGTCTTTAATATTGAATTGAATGAAAAAGAATTTTTGGCATAAGAATTCCCTTCACCTCCCTGTCCCTACTATTCATCCATCAAACACAAAAAACTCCAACAGTAGAAACACGATGAAGATATACACAGTTGAAGTCATTGCCTACATGACAATAGAGGATTGTATTTTTTACTTTTCTTATTTAGAAAATCTGTCCTTTAGTGTTGAGAGAATGGAAATTATTATCTTGCTTCCTGCTGAAGACACATCTTGGTGTCCTCATGTTCATCGCCAGTTTTCAAAATTAAGTGCTAAATTTTCATCCATTTGAAACACCTAGCAGCTGTATGAAGAAAATTGCTTTTCAAATCCACAGAGAAGCAAATCCCAAGCTCATGATCAGAGAAGTACGAATGGAGACTTGTACTGAAACAAAAATATTATAAATAAAACACAGCAAATGAGATAAACCCTTCTACTTTCCTGCACCTCTTTCTGCCCAAAGCCATATAATACAAAGCCAATGCCAGTAACTGCTTAACTGAAAAATATTTACACTATGCCTAACTCCCAAAACATTCATCATGCCACAAAAAGAAGGCCTAGCAGCACTGCTCTTGCTACCATAGAACTAGATTTTTGACATACACTTGCTTCAGCATTGACGCTGACAATATATATGAATTTCCATTCAGCTCCATAGAAGTTTCAGACTTAGGAATATTGGGATATTTATCAAAACAAGGCACTGGCATGGCTAAAAAAAATGTAATATTTTCAGTAGAAATAGCTAGATTAAATAAGAGTGTGTTCAGATCAGTTGGCTTAAACAGAGAAAGCGTGAGAAGTAACTTCCGAGGAGTAAATGAGGAAAAGGAGTAGAAAAAAATCTGTATGGTTCTGAGGAACTGCATGTCAGATGCTTTATACCAGGAAACATATGATTAGATAGATATACGGTTGAAAAAGTTCATTTTATATATATGTGTGTGTGTGTGTGTATAAAGATGAAAAAGAAATACTACCAAACATGTAAAAGCAACATTTGTGGTTTTTTTCAGCATTCCTCTAGAGATAATGGCTCAAAAATGTGATCCTGACTTTTTTTCTGGGGTGGTTGACAGAATTTTTTTTCACTGACCAAAAAAATCTCTAGTTCACCATGATGAGTTGTACTATTACTCAGGAAAGGGGCTGGTAGGGCTGCATGATTTAGGGTATCTTGCCCAGCTAATAGAAAGCTTCCTGCCAGAGGCAACAAACTTCACAGGGAAATATTGACATCAACTATGAATGTCAGCACTGACTTTGAACTGACTGAGGCCTGGGGATGAGCCATCTGAGTGCCATCCCCTTACAGAAAGAGGTAGCACCCTATCTGCTGCTTCTCAGCACCAACTCCATCCTACCACCTCCACCCAGGTGCATGGGGACTTCCATCAGTAAAATCAGCTGCATTCCTGTGCTCTTCAGTGTAAGTAATTCCTCTTGTAAATACCCATCACTGTAAAATCTCCTTTAATGTCGTAGGGAATATGAAAGGCATGTGGGATTGAGAAGAAAACTGCCGCGTTAGGGTTGTTTTCAAATCAGAAAGCGTGTGATTTTTTCCATTTCCTATTATGCTTTTTGCACTGCTGCCTTTGAGTAGGGTGACCAGTTGCTGCAGGCACACTTGTTTTGTGTTTTTTTTTTTATTTCCCAGATGGCATTGCTCATGTAGGTCCGCAAAATTACAGTGTACGCTATTTTGCTTCTCCCAAACTCCAGAAACAGACTTGTAAAAAACAAAGTATTTCATATAGCTTAGATTTCCTGACCATGAATTTTCACTTTGTGAACTCCTTTCACTCTTTATACACTATGCATGTGGATATGCATGTAAGTGCCCCCAGGATTTCCACATTTCCCCATTCCCCAGTCTATCCCACCTTTTATGGTCCTCAAGACCAGCAGCAATATCACTACTACCCTCTGTTGTGATGAAAGTTTCAGAATGTCCATTAGCATTTAGCATTGAAACATGACAGAAAAAGGGCCAGTTGCTCCAAAGGTTATTCAAGTAATGTAAAGACATTCAGAAGATTTTATATTCAAGAGTAAGGGATGGGGGGAAGGCTGTTATAACTGCTTAATCAGCTACACTTTAATTTCCCTACAATAGCTGATACAGCTGAATTAGTGAAATGATCCTTATTCAAAGATCATTCTAACAACTTACAGAGTGATTAAACTTCTGCATGCTCGTCTATTATTTCTGTATTCCCATTTATTTTTACTGAAATCCTAAAAAAAAATTACAGCCAAAAATATAGCTGTTTTATTCCTCATAATAATCTAGATTGATTTTCCCACCATAATATTTAAATGCACTTCATTTCCTAAGGCATTAAATGCAGTTTACAGTTAGTTGCAATAGAGTGCCTCACATCAAAAACGTTGGGTACTTAGCTGAGACAAAAAGATTGTGGTTTATCTGCATAATTATTTTCTATTTTCTCTCTTTCCTGCTCTAATTCAGCTTATACATAAACATAGGAAATTTGATGATAACTGAAAGCATGCAATGTTATTAATCCATTGATTTTCATGCATATATGTCTAGAATTCAGTAATAATATGATAATACTGATCTTTCATAGAGAACTGGATTTAGAATAGGCCAGTCCATTAAAACCTTACCTGGAGAAATCCTACCAGCCAACTGATTTGAGTTTTCCTCAGCCTATCATACTTACAGGAACTCAGGGACAATAGTTGGGAAGCTCAGCACAAAGTCACACCAACATCCTAAAATTCTGGGTCAGAATTGTGCTAAAAAATAGGTACAATGCATCATACATGTAGGTGTCATGGCATTCTGAGGTTCAGAACAATTCTGCTTCTTATTCAGGTAATTCAGAGATCAGTACTCCACGAGGACATGCATTCCCAAAAGATAGAAAAAAAGAATGAGATTTATTATTGTGAATTCTGAAACTAAAATCTAAAGAATTATTCAAAAAATTTATTTCAAATTCTGAACGTGAACACTGCTGGTTTACGGGAACAAACACTAGCTTTGTTGAAACATTCTCCACATGATATGGAAAACCAAAAAGAGACATTTCCTTGTAATTACAAAGACAGACCAGACAGGCACTGAGAAACCTGATTGAGATGTTCCTGTTCATTGCAGGGGGGTTGGACTAGATGACCTTTCAAAGTCCCTTCCAACTCAAGTGATTATTTGATTCTATGATTACCTAATAATCTCAGAACAGCTATGTTCCTTATAGTTGGACAAATTATTCACATGAGTTTTATCATCTATTGCATTTGGGTTTTATTTCTGCTATGCAAAACAATGTCAGTGGAATAATTACATGGAGAGGAAGGTGTCACAGCTTTTAACGTGAGCATATGCTCTGAAACACCTTTTAGAGGTGCCACAGTTCTTTAAAAGAAATGAAATCAGCACAAAAGTAGCATTATTTTTCTTCAAAAAAAAAAAAAAAGCATGCTCCTCTGTATTAAGAATTTCCTCATTACTATACATTAAAGATGTGTCCATAGAAGTGTCCAGTTTTTTTCCTCCTCTGTTCCTATGAAGTGTCTGGCATATTGCATTTAGAATAAATTATAAAGGGTCAGCATTTTAACGTAATCCTTTACACTGAATTATTTACAAAGTTGTTGAAGTCTACATAACAGAAGGGTTAATATTATTAGAAAAATTAATCTACATTATATTAAAATCAATACAATCAATAACAACCAGATTTTACATTGTAAAAAACTGAAAGAAGAAAAAGCCTTCAAAAGGAGAAAAGAATTGCTTAGAAAATTTAACAAAACTAGTTTGCTGTCAAGAGCTCTGTTACAGAAAGCAGCAACACCAATGAGGAGAAAAGAAAACATATCTTTCATGTTCCTATTGTACTCGAAAGGCCACCATCACATTGACCAGCTGGCATCTTCCTACACAGAGAGAAAGAAAAGGGAAGAAAGAAGTACTTTCCCATTTACATTTCTAATGATGCTCTGTTTGTTAAAAGACTTAAATACTTTTTCTTGTGATATAAGCCTAAGCATCAGGCTTACTGAGATGTTTGAGACTTTCCTCATCCTTTTTGGTTACTCACTAATTGCTTCAGTGAAAGGCTCCCTGACATCTATTATGTTCCAAGAGCAAATAATGGCCTGAATGTATAATAATTAGAGAAAAAAACATGAGGTTGAAATAGGTATTTTAAGCATTGCTATTGATTCAGTCCTCTTCATTGCAGAAAATATTTTATTTCTTTAAAACATACACTGTGAGAAAGCTTTTCAAGAGTTATATCCTCCACTTGTTAGCTAATTTGTGTCCACTGAGATGGTATTCACACTGTCAATGATCACAATCCTTTTTACTATAATGCAGAATATGTAATGTAAGCCAGTCCTGAAGGAAACTTAACCTGTTTCACCTTATTGTAAGAGGAAACAGAAACACCCACAAATAACCCATATGTCTGCAAAAGAAACATGCATGACTTAAGCAGTAGCAGTTCTACCCTTGTTATACATCTTGGCCCATATCTTCTATAATTCATAAATTACCACTTAATTCAGACTTTTGTAATTCTAATAATATCCATCATCTTTGGCAAGACCATGTGCACAATAACCCACTAAATTCTAGCATAATGGAGTTGTGAGGAGAATAAAATCCACCAGATTCCTGTTCTATGAGTTCATAATCCAAAACAATTTGTACTCTTATTGAACATAAACTTTGACTGACATCTCCTCCATTGGAAAGTAAATAAATTCATCTGAAAGAGGTCTTGATCTCCTAGTGTCATCTTTCATAGGTAGAACAGTACTGCTCAGAAAATATGTCCTGTAAGACATGCTGTCTCTACATAACCTGTACCTTCCTTTCTAGGTTGGACTGTCCCTTACTAAGTGTTGGAAAAATGACCTCAAGCAACAGTGCCACCGGGATTTATCATCACTTGGCTAAGATCTAATAAAATTTCAATCTAAGGCAAATTTTCATTAATTTTACGGCCCCTAGAAGACTAATATAATGCATACAACTTTTAAGCTAATACCTGTACTTGCTGAGCTAAATCTTTAATTCTAGCCCAAATCAGCCAGGCACTGAAAGAGATGCTTTATTTTTGAGCACTTAATTCTACTGACATTGATAGTGCTGCATAGGTGCTTTTAATATCAGGGGGTCTCTTCCAGGGTTTTGTGGGATTTACATTCAGCTGTGCTTAGTGCCTTTAAGATCTCTTTTCTCCTGATTTTGTGTGTTTGTATATAAGGAAAAAATGTTGAGCTAAAATGTCTTAAATGTAAAACTGAACTAAAAATATGAAAAGCTTTCCTGCCTTTCTGAAAGTATAGTTGGTGTTGTGAAGTTGCTGGATACTTTCTCCTTGTACTTTCCAGTTGATACAACCTAGACCTTTACTTCTGAAGTAATCAGCTTTTAATTAAACCAATGAGTTTTTCATATTACCCTAATGCATGTAATAATTGTTATGATTCTATTATTTTCTTTGTTAAATACATTTGTAGTTTTAAATGACAGGAAATCAAGCCAGTAATTTGTAAAGATGTGTGAATAAGGAAATTGCTCTATTCATACATTCATAATGAAAAGGGAGATAACATAATAATGCTTTGTATTCTCACACCCTCTAACAAGAAGAGAAAAAAAAGCAAAGGAGCTGGCCTGGATAATTTCCTGCAACCCTTTCTTTGTTCTCAAGTCTTTTTATAAGTATTTATTTGAGGTATGCAAAGGAAAAAAAAATCATCCAAACCAAGCTTTGAACATAGTGCTTTAGTGACACAGCTTCTAAGAACAAGAAAAAGCTCATTCATTAGAATAAAAAGCTGGAAAGATGCCAGCGCACAACCATGCACATTACTGCAGTCATTCAGTACAACATCATACCACTACTACTCCATTTCAAATACCACAACTGAAATATATACAAATGTAAGTTGTTCCAGCCTTAAACTACACCTTATGTCAAGCTCGCCTGTTATGTCACCACTACAAATAAAAACTGTTCAGAACATTTTACCATTCAATAAACTCACTGTCTGGTTAAAAAGAGAGGAAGCAAAGGACACAGACGTTACTGAGAAAATAATTCAATTTCTTTTTTTCCTTTGATTTTTCAGACTTCAGAGTTAGACCTGTCAAATGACATAAGGAAGTAAAGAGAGCCTTACTGACGCTGGCACTGGCTTCTTACCCTTCTCAGCTCCAGAGCAGGCTGCATACTCATCATCAAAGAAAGGGGTCAGCTACTCCACTGCCTTATTTAGGTACTTTGTCTCATTTTTCATGGATCCCTGAAACTCCATTGAAAGGATTTTTTTTTTTAAGAGGAGGAATGGGGAAAAGTCACTTTTTTGTAAACAGTTTTGTCAAATATATTAAGTCTAGTTAGTCACGTAGGAGATTTTATAACTGCATATTGCTATCCAGTCCAAGTTCCTTGAATTTTTCCTCTCTCTTCATGAATAAACTTTAGTGCTCAAGCACTGCTACTAATTATGTATAAAATTCTGAGCAGCAGACACACAAACACATATTCATGCCAATTTGCTCACTTCAAGTGTTATCTTCTAAATTCTGTTAAAATTTCTCTATTTCAATGTGAAGAAATTTTGTAAGATAATCCTACATTAAAGGGATAAGATTAAAGATAAGTTTTATGGCAGAATGGTTGAAATGGGAAAGGACCTCAGGTCCATTTAGAAGAAGGGACACCAATAGCAGGGTGCCCCAGGGTCACACTCATCTCCCAGTTCTAGCGTGAAAACTCCTTGTCTAGAGGTACCTTGAACAAACCAACCAGCAAGTTCAAGAAGGGTTTAACTGTTAGTCTGGCCAATGGAGTGAAATAAAGAAAGTAAGGTTTGTTTCTTCAACCCCTTCATTTTTTCCTGTATTTCTTTCTCTGTCCTATAGTGAAAAATGCACGGAAATGCACTGTTGATATTGTGATAGCTATCTCCATATTTTTTTTACTTTAAATAAAACAGTCTTTTCTTGTATGCAAATATCTTGCTTCTCTTAAGTTTTGCCTATCTAAACAACTTTTCCACTTCACATAGTAAATATTAGGTGGCATATTTGACCTTAGCAAAAGTAACTAAAAAGTACGATAAAAATACACATGTTATGAAGTCCAAGAGATATTTATTCATAAAACTGTTATTAAAATCATCATTTTTCATTATACTTTAGTTGGAATTACACATTCTCCAGCAACATATTAGCCCTCCTTTGGCAAGTGCTGCATATTTTCTGCTTTAAGACTGCAGCAGTAAGATCCATACCCAACTTGTCCTGAAATATCCCTTGAGTGTTTGAAGTATGATGTAGCCACAGGCATAAACTGTACTGATACATTTTATTTACTTTGGTAGAGGTCTTAGAAAAGACAAGGATGTCCCAGTAGACGCTTGAAGACAGCACAACCATTTAAACTGTTGGTGACTTACTTTAATTAAATGTTTCATTCTTGAATTCAATTTCAGAATCCAAAAAAGTCAGCACTATGAGCCTCGTCAACAAGCTGGCTGAGGTGTTCAAAACCCTACGTAGATAAAACAAACTACCACTGTGCCAGTATATATTCAAATTTTGTAAAAAAAAAAAAATCTTCAGAAGATTACAAGCTAGCAAATACCTTACAGGTGTGCTGAAGTTACATATTCCACTAAGTTTACTGATCTATGGCTACTGTTACATTTTTCAAATACTTTGTCAAGTATTGGCCTTTGATATCATAAACTTACAGATTTTGTATATCTAAATATTTAGATAGTTGTCCTTACTTCAGTAGCTGAGTATCTCCACACAATATAAAAATTCTCCATAACTATCTTATCAACTAAGAAGATAGACAGATTTCAAGGGTATTTATTCTGTGCATTACCCACATCAACACTGACTAGACCTACTGGCTTCACAAAGCACTGTGCAAAAATCCTGCAAAAATACCAAGTCGGCATATTAACTAGAGATGCTTTTTCTAAAGATCAGGATTCTACCATAAGGTCACTCAGGAAGGACTGACACTGCTTTGCATACGACCATCCCACATTTATCTGTAGTACAGCAACAGGCTGAGTTGCAGGCTAAATCCCACAGACAACCATTTTCTCAACTGTGTACAGAGATGAACTTGTGGTCAGAACCACAAACGTAAACAGCTGAGACATATTTGAAGCTATTTATGAAAATACATTCCAAATTTATAGGACATTTACCTAATGCCTATCATTTTGAAACACAGTTTGGCACTTGGCTTCAGTTAATGCAGCAGCGTTAAAAACATGCTGCCCCACTCAGCTAGGACAGGAAATTTTCCCAGCAGCAGAAATCCTTGGGACCCCCCACATGCCACCTGAAAAATGGAAGAGGTGATGGTAAAGTCTCTTCTGCCTGCTTGAGCTGCCTCCGCAGACCCAGAAAAGCTGAGGTTTTATGACTTAATCATAATTGCTACATTGTAAAATAAATTTTAAAATTCACATTACATTAGGACAGAATCATTTCTGATAACTGATCTGAATACAGAAGAGGTACACCAGCACAGGGTTGAAGAGAGTTTATAAATCTTGTTTTGACTGAAATGCTCCTGTCCACTGATAGATACTCAGGACTAACTCTTGCAGGAAATAAGATCTGAGATTCTTGTCATTACACACAGAGTGAAAGCAAAATGTTCAGATCGAGTTTAGTATTCTCTGTGCTCCCTTATAGGAGGGATAGAATTAAAAGGGATTAAGGCCCAGCAGCGAACCAAGAAACATCTGCCTATTTATTACTTCTATAGTGAAATCCTTCTTACCTGCTCTGGACATAATTAAATTTCTGGTATCCTAGAGATACCAATATATCTTTTCCTATTGTTGAGTTAGTTGGCTGGTGATCCACACACAAGTCTATAGCTCTAAGTACATCTTATTCATCTTCACATTTGAATTCACAAGTTTCAATCGTTGAGTACATACCTCAATTTACAAGCATTATTATTTTTTTTTTTTCCTTCTACATATGGATTTTTTAATATATTTTATTTTACAGCTTTACAAATGTCATTTAAATTTCCATATTAATCGTGTTCTATTCCCGGCAGCAATTCCACAAGCTCAGATTTCTGGAACACCAGTGGCCCATAAGCAGTAGTTTACAGCTGGCCCACTTTAAATAACAGAACTCAGAAATCCTTATGTCCATTCCTCTAATACAGCAAACACAGAATAGCTTAGGTTGGAAGGGTTTTTAAAGAAGACCTACATCAAATCCCCTGCTGTGGGCTGGTTGCCCCCACTAGATTAGGTTCCCCAGGGCCTCATCCATGATGACTTTGTGTGCCACCAGCTTTGCAGCATCCACAGCTCTCTGGACAGCTTGTCCCAGGGTCTAACTAACTTCCAAGTAAATAATTCCTTCCTAACCTAAATCTCACCTCTGTTAGTTTAAAACCATTCTTTCTTGTCCTAACTCTAGCAGACCATGTAAAAATTAGATGCCCATCATGTTTAGAAGCTCCCCTTAAATACTAAAAGGATCCGGAGCCTTCTCCTCTCCGAGCTAAATCAGTCCATCTCCCCCAGTCTCTTTCTCCAAGCGAAGAAATTCAAAGCTTAGTAAAGATTTATTGGTCTAGAACTAGAACTCACATTCTGCAGCATCTACACTCAATCTGAATTTAACATTTCTTAAACTTCATAACAATATACACACAAAGGAACTACAGCCCTGTATGTTTTCTTCTTGCTACTGTTACTCCAGATACAGAGTGGCATTATTTCAATTCATTTTATAGCTAATTTATCTAATCTCTCTCTCAGCTTCCTAGTATCTATAACTATATCCAGAGTCCTACTTCAGCAAGTTACTTAAATGTTTACAGGTAAATAAAACATATATGCAGATATATTATGCAAGTTGCATCTGTAGTGCCACTGGGGCATGAACCCACATCAGAGAAAAATCATCACACAGTTTAGTCATTGTTGCACATTCTCTCCTCATATTATCAATCCTACATTACAGGAAACTAACACTACTCAACAAATATTCCCATCTCTTGCTTTCCTATATCCCAAGAGATCTTCACATTTTAACTCATTAGTAGAATACAAACTATATTTCTTACATTGCAAACAAACACAGAATCAGTTCTTCAAGATTATCAAACCCAACCATCACCTAACACAAGTCCATTGCTAAATGTCCTTAAGCTACTCACCTATCTCTTGAATACCTCCAAGGATAGTGACTGCTCTACCTCCTTGTGCAGCCTGTCCCAATGCCTAGCATCAATTCAGTGAAATTCTATGCAAACAATCCCAACTGAGGTTCCATCAGCTTTTAAATAATTTTAAAAACAGATATATGTTTAATACAGCTCTAGTCAGAAAAGCACTGTTATTTTAATGGTAGGCACAAACCAAATATATTTTATAACTAACTTTCAATCCAGATGTATTATAATTCCTGGGGTTTCAGCAGGTGAATGAATCAACATCATGGAAATCACATATGATAGTACGTATTTGTCAGCATATATACTGAAATGCAGCATCATCTTTTACCAGCTCCATCCTATGGCAATCATAATAGTAACCTATTACTTCACTGACTTCTCTCAGTGTTAGCCCATGACAATGTACATTTTTCATGCCTGATGATTCATTGCAGAAATGTCACAGAGTATGTGGAAAGACTATGTTTACAAAAAGCCACACTGACTGGATCATGAATCATAACTACATTGCTGCAGAAGAAAGAATTGTGTTAAATTTAAAGATGGACTAAAACCAAAGGTTTCTTTTTTTCTAACTGCTTTCTCATCAGCTTAGTTGGTTGGACTACTAAGATGAAAACTACAAAACTTGATAAGCAATGTCAAGAATACAATACAAACAGATTCTCTCTCTGTGGAAAGCATTCTAATTTTGCAGTGGTAAGCATCTCTGAAGGTAGTCTTGCCAAAATAAGAATTCTGTTCTGTGATTTGTTCTGAGAAGGATTTCCTCACCAGAAATTTTCTCTAATATGTGAAAGGTACTTTATTTGCATTTCCATATCATTACAATCAAGACAAATCTTTACTAAAATCACATTTAAATTGCAAAACTGCTAAGAAATTCAGATTTCCAAATTTGAAATGTAGAAAAAAAAAAAATCTATTTCACGTATCTTGCCTTAATTCCTGTAATTTTCAGTAATTTCTAATGTAATGTCTACAGGAGAGCTGAACTAAATGAAAAACATATTCCTGCTAAAGGGCAGTTCTAGGCCTTAAAATTACTTCTCAAATGAAAATAGCTCTCTCTATAAACATAAAGAAAAAAAAACTGAAAACAACATTTTTAAAGCCCAGTTCTTTAGAACTCACTGCTAATGCTATGAATGATAACAGGATGTCTACACCAAGAAAGTTACAAATAAAATACAAGTCTTTTCAACTTGTTTGCAGTACTTTGTAGATCTGTACCACTTCACAACCATCAGGTTGGTTACGAGAATGCAATGGATAACAGGCATATTCATCACCAGACAAACTGATGAGTGTACTTAGGTTAATAACCTTTTCTATCTTCTACAGTACATTTGTGAGAGAACTAAGAGAAAGAATTCTTGCTATATATAACATAATGAACAGAATGCATGGACTATATCACATCCACTAAAATATCCCATGCGCTTTTCCTACACAGAGTGTCAACATTAAACATATGCTTACTTGAAGTGTACTCATGAACTCTTTTAAAAAAAAAAAAAACAAAACAGAAAACCCATCATAGTGTTCTAACAGAATAAAGATTGCTCAGAGGCATTACGGATGCTGCAGAGAGAAAATAAGTTTGGAATAACCAGAAGAGGGCAGCATTTTACCATGTTTTAAAAACTATAGCAGCTTCACTTCCTAAAGCTGAGACACTAACAGGCTTATTTTTTTGAATGCTAATTTTGCTCAAAGATGACCTACATTCGTTAAAAATTTCCCTTTTGTCAATGCACAATATATCACCTTGCTAGTTAGGCATTTTAGAAAGTTCTCTGTAAGCTAATTGCTAATAACAGCCGATAGTATTTGCAAAAGCAAAGTAACTTATCATTATGAATCCAACCACTGCTTCCATTTTACTTTGGTAAGAATTAAATTTCTATAGAGAAGCAGCAGAAACAGTACTTGAGCTTAAAAACAGACCTGAAATAAAGCAAAGTTTATTAGCCAGCTATTACACATTAAAACCATATGTACTAAGTATCATAACAATAATATTCAAATACTTCTGTGAAATGCTATCTGAATTCCACTTATGTACTCCTAGAAAATAAGATGTGAGTTCATAAATAACATATCTCCTTATATTTATTATAAGCTGCATGAAAAGATGTTTAAACAAGCTTTGTTAATCATTAATAAAAGGATTGTCAATAAGCAACAGAATCTCGAAGAATGGTTTAGAGAAGCAATAATATCCAATGCATTTTGCTAAAGAAAAACATCTATCAGACTCCTAAACTTTTTAAAGACTGCATCCATTCCTGTGCTCCCATGTAAGAACGTTCATTAAACACTTCTGGAAAAATCTCTCATCTAATTTTCTTCGCCTAATTCACGTGCTCATAGCTGTATCACAATAGGAACACTTTTAGCAAAAAAAAAAAAATATTTCAGCAATTGTAATAATATTTATTGTAAATAAATAAATTTATAATAAAAGTGTCATAGATTGCTCACAATACCTTCAACGCTCTTGAAGAAGCTCCAAGAAAAATCAGAGTTCTCACATTAAAGGAGGCATCATTCGTAAGATTCTGCCATAAACATATGGTCATTTTGCCCAGTAGAAAGCACTAAAAAAAGTGGTGAAAACATAAACTGATGCTTTGCCTTACTATCCTGGAGCAGGGCTGGCAACATGATGCACTGGAAGACTTAGTCCTAGTCACTACCTTCCTTGGCACCTGGAAGTAATTTTAATCTGTCAGTCAAGAGAAAGTCAGAAATGAAAAACTGGGATATCCTTAGGCAAGAATATTAACTTTAGTGTTAATATTCAATTTAAAAAACTAATTAAGCAAAATAAATAATGTACCTAAAATACAGCTTTTGCAAAGGCTAACTTTAGATATGCAATCCCTCAAACACTGTCTTCTCCCATTTCTTCCTATTGCTCAGATGAGGAATGGCTCCAAGACAAGGCAGGAACAAAATAGTTTCTGTTACAGTATATTATGTATTCAGAAGGTAGCCCTAAATAAATTTCTAACTTCATAATGGAAAACTTTGAATGCATGTCTATGCTAACAATATACAGCTACATCCTGTTTTTCAGGAAGAATATTGAGTACTTTTTCTGAATCTTGTTGTAGGATAACTATTGTAAGCTGCATAATCAATGAATTTAGGGATGTTATAATTAAGAAATATACAGGAAAGTTAAACTACATAGGTTATCACACTAAAAAAGAAAGGATGGAAAGCTTACCCTTGTCCTGGGTCACTGAGTAGACTCCAAGAAGAGCAATCTCCAAAAGAAATCCTTCCCCCCCCAGTAGTCTGCTCTTAAATGGGGTCTAGGAGAGGTGCAGCCAGGTCCACCCCTTCCAGTAGCACAGGAGAATTGTCTTCACCTGTGCTCCCAGGGCTGACTCATTGCTCACCTCAGGTGGTCAATCAGAGGTTCAGGCCGTGATTCAGCAGTTCCCATACAGAGTTAAAAGTAATGCCTCCTATTTTATTATGTTGGCCTATGATGTCAGAGAAGGATGCAGGTGGGATGGCAGTAGAGGTTGCGTCTTCCCACCAACACTTCACTACATTCTGTTGCCATGCAACAGATGGCAGCAGATGGGCAGTCAGACAAATTGTTGTCTGACATGGAAGCATGTATGAAGCAAAGGGGTGGAAATGGATTTCTCCATGCAGAAAAAAATGGCAGTCGCTGTCATTCATTAATGTTTGCTGAATATTTATGCAGATGTGAGCACAGTGAGGCAGTGGGTGGTGTGTTTCAGCAGTAGTGATGGCAACAGTGGATAACCAGCACTGGTGTAGATTTTTACAAGCATGGCATACAGGACATAGTCTTTTGTAGCCAAGAATTTGGTCTATCAGTGCTATTATGCTCTTTGCATCTGTTGCCACTTCCATGGAAAGAAATAGGAGGCATTACTTTCAGAACAACGTAGTATTTGTGAAGAAAAAATACAATAGAGCTGCAGAGAAGATCAGTGTTCTGTATCTTTGCCATTCAAATTTGTAGTTTAGTTTTAAGTAGCAATCAGTTCTGTATCAAACAGCTCCACATCAAACTAATGAAGAGAATGCAAGACAAGAACAAACATAATGTCTATGGTGAACATTTCATGTTGATATTATATTTACTTAGACCCCTCACGTACCTCACTTTTATCTCTTCCTGCTCATTGTTTCTAGTACTTTTAAAATTCATTGCATTAAAAAGCCCACTTGATTTTTTTTTTTTTTTTTTCTGCAGAAATTATTTGGCTTTTCTATACAACAGAGATAGAAAACCATTATAAAAACATAGCATTAGTCTGTTTAAACACAATACTAATATCTTGTCAGCTGTCTGTCATAGTATTTAAGTACATTCCACTCCTTCTTGGCATTAGATGAAAAAAAATTATACATCAGCCCATGACGTATATCATATGCCATCTGCAAACCACAGCATAATTCATTTGTATTTTCCTTAGACAATAAATTAAGAAGTACTGAGTCAGACTGTATAGTCTCACAGTCCAGTCTGCTCCTGAAATGGCAGAGAAGTAACAACAGGGACCTGAGCTCATGAACTCAGATTGATTGTGCCCATGGACCTTTCCAGGTCCATTCTCAAGAGCTAAACAGCAGAACTTGCCTCCTCCCTCTATCCCAGCCAAAAGAATGAAAATTGAAGATGTTTCAAGTCCAAACCTCACCAGAAGTTAGGCACCAATATCTTGTTTAGCTTCTTTACTATTCTTGCCTTCTCCACACAATGACTTTACCTCTGTTTTCTCAGCATGTTTGGAATTTCTTTTTTCATATTGCTCTTCCAAAGGTAAAATTGGAGTCTGAAGTCTCTTTTGTCCTTCCATACCTAAACAGTTTCCTTTAAGGCCAAAATGACTGTAAAAGTGCTCGGAATCAACTTTTGCAGTGCCTGCTGGGAAAATCTCCAGACAGATGGACTGGCAGAGAGTGAGTTGCATGCAACCAAGTGCATTTCTTGTGTCAGCAAAGGCTGACACAATCCTTTATGTGATTTCTGTAGAGAACAACATGGCTCTGTCGGTGACCATCCTGTAACAGCTTGCCCAAAGCTCTTTTACATTTTTTTTTTTTTTAACTTCATATTTATACTATTTTAAGGTAAATGGAATCCATTATTAGTTTTATTTGAACTTTTTTTTTTTTTTTTTTCTTTTTTTAAGTCTACTTGACCAAGCCATCCACTATGAATCACTTTACTTTCTTCTGACATTCATCTTTAAGATAGTTCTCTAATCAAATAATCAGCAAGGACACAGATCTTAGAATAACTGCATTCGTTGAAAATAAAACAAATTAAAACAGCAATACAATTGGAACATGAGGTAACGCATATAATGCAAATTATAAGCTGTTACTTTTTCTACACACGTGCAAAAGACTAAATTTTTAGAAAAAAAGAAAAAAATATTCATTATAGAATTTCTTTTTAGCACTGCATTCATAGTAAGGAATAATTAATTGTTTCAAGAAGCATAAACTTAAAAGTAATGAAGATGTGACATCCTTTTTACTTTTTTTTTTTTTTTAGTTTTGTCTGCTGAAGAGTGATTTTTATTGAGCAACAACCATCCGATATTTCCTTTACAGTAAAACATGATATTAAAAACTTCTTTGTAATTGGAAAACATTGATCTTTACAGACAGGTGGTCTTCCAAGATAGGAATTTATCTTATGATTCCATATTTGGAAGCAAGGTAGAAACAGGTGGTTTCCATAATGAACTACCTTATTATCTATTATTCATTTATTCTATGCCAAAATACTTACATCTATCATTTGCTTGGTTTGTGGTATCCTTGCACATTATAAATTTCTGCTAACAATACAGTTTTCTCCTATTTCATGTAGAAGGAAAGCTGTGTGCTGCTTTTTGTATGTAAAACAGATCTACATAGTATAAATAAGAAACTAGATCTGTTCATTTTATGACTATATTTAAACTTATTTCCTTTAGCTTTAAGAAGTATCAGATCATCTTGTATTTTGTCAATGTACTGTGAAAAATAAAAAATCCTTTCCATTCAGTTCCAGTCACGAAACCACTTCAGACACTTAGCAGCCAGAGAACTCATTATCACAGTATTTAATAGCTACATTAATGCTATGTGATGACTGGCTTGGGCCAGCTTTTCCAGTGCCATTTGAGGGATATTCCCAGAAGACAGATTTCATAAAGGACTCAGTTGGGATGAAATAGGAAAATACTGTTCCTATGGACCCATGGGCAAGTTTGAAAATGGAAACTAAAGGATTGGAGAGGGATGTACATACAAATTCCAAAGGCCTGCACTGCCAATAACCATGACATGCTTCTGTATTGGAAATGTGCTGATTCTACCCATTGGCACTGAGAATTCAGTATATGGTAAAAGCCTATTTATTACTGTTGACAAAAGCATTTTCTGACCTAGTTTTTTGTTGTTGATTGGAATTTCTTTTATATTTTAGTTTAGTTCCAATTTGATAGCATAAAATTTATAATTTTACCACAGCAGTGATTAAAATAGGGCCATTTTAGTTCTTAATACCCCTCTTGCTGGAGGCAGCATATATACTTTTTTCATATTTTATTTATTTTATTTTTGATGTGCCTGGTAGCTATTATGGTTAGAATTAAAAAAATTAAATGTTAAGCAGGGAGTGAGGATAAAAAGCAGCTTAATTAAAATAAAGGAAAGAAAACAGTATTTTAAGATGATTATAGATTCTAGTAGGTTTATAAATTATGATATAACTGGTAATTACATCTGCTATAAGCTCTTGGTTAGAGTTAAAATCTATTGAAAAAAGCCCTGTGGCTCTACACTGAAATACAGTGCAATTCCCAATTACCCCAGGGAAAAACAGGAAGTTTAAAGGCACATAATTTACATGTTTTGTTTTGTTTTTAAAATCACTTGTTCTGCCCAAGAATGATATACCTCCAGAACACAAAATTACCACAAAACTCAAAGCATAAGAAGCAGATTGAAAAAAGATAAAGAACACTTTCTAGTGTTTCATTTCACTGCTAAAATGACTCCTAGAAGTACAAGAAACAGAAATAAAACCCCACAACATTAATAAGAATCAGTTAACGGGATCTCATCTCATAAAAAACATTCTAGATCATGCATATTGTTCTAGATTCCTATTTGCAAAAGTGCAGTATTTATCAGGGCTTGTAGTTTCCCATTTTCAAGCACCGCAAGAACACCAAATCTTCATCATCTATGATTTTCATACTACGTATTGTCTCTGTTTGAATGAGTTTTATTTTGGATAAATTAACAAGGGACTCTGAAGTCAATGTGGCAAATAAACATTCTTTTCTCACCAATATTGCATGGTAGGAAATTGTTGTCAGATGGCTTTTTACTGTAGTATCAGTTTTTAAATCTTTAATGATATTACCCTTACAAGCATCCTGTAAAACTGTAAAGTGTTATCTATTCCATTTGAGTAACTGAGATACTAAAAACTAAATGACTTAGAGAAAACCTGGTGAAAAAAAGGCTTAAGCTGAAATTTCTTAAGCCCCAGTCTAGTGGCTTACTCACCACACTTTCACTGAGAAATGTGATTAAATAGAATAAAATAATAAAGAAAAATCAATAAAGACTTAGGTTTGGCAGATAAAATACAATAGCCTGAAAGTCCGCTGACAAGAATTCAGGGCACAAGGCCAAGATTTTTAAACTACTTTGAGTGGATCACTTAATAGCATGAAAACAACATAATAAGGAGAAAATTAGACATCTGCTTTAGGTATGGCAGTGAGATACGTCCTCAAGGACTTCACTTTTATTTCTCCTGGTACTAAGTGCACATGTTGAATTCCTGACCCCATTAACATGAATGGAGAAGCTCCCTTTATTTCAAAAGAATTGCAGGTTCACCCATACTCAGGCTGGGGTGATATACTTAGCAGAAAATTCAGAACTTATCAGCAAAATCACATCTCAGTGATGTGAGATGGTCTCTGCTGCTAGTTATAAATGCTAAAAAGTGAGCCAAGTTTGACCACTAAAAATTTGGGCTCCACAAAGGCCCCTAATGCAATATTGAAAACGCAGAGTGGCACACTTTTGAGGAAACAGCAGATAAACTAAATGTGCAGTTCTAGAGATATTAATTCATCTTTACAAAATCTAGCCAATCTTTCCCAATAGGTTTATTAAAAATATATTTGCACATTAAAAATGCATATATTTATACAAGGCTGCTACAGTTTTTGTTCAGAAGTTTACTTTTCATTTCAAACCACTCTG